CCCGGAGAAGCGTTTGAACCCCCCCCCCCCCCCAACTCCTCTCCTTCCCAAGGGAGACTGGCTCCCAGGGTGCTTGCTGGAGGGGGAGGGATTAGCCTTTCAGGATGTCCAGGTGTGACTGGAACAATAGAAATGTCTCACCTGCCAGGAGAATCAGGCCAGCGAAAGGCAGCTGCATTGTCCCTCCAATTGCCCCCTTCTCACTCAAGCTCTGTCCCAACTTTTCTTTTAAATGTTCCAGAAAGTGAGCGCTGGCTCCTTCCACCTGAGACACTTCCCTCTCTGAGGTTACTTCTGCTTTGTGGGCTGCCGTTTCCTGGTGCCCTGCTTCATATCACAACCTGGCCCGGTTACAATCACTGGGGCAGAAACAATAGACGAAACACAGAAGAAAGTAGCAGGCGGTGGCGGGAGAGGAAGTGGGGCAGCAATCAGCTGCACTCCAGCTTCTGATGGAAGCTTTTGCAGGGCGAGCCTTTGAAGGCCTGTTCTTTCTCTCGGGGTGCATCTAAAACCCCAGCCGTGACAAACACTGGTTGCCCATTCAGTGCTGGTTGTTCTCCTCTCTCTCATGGGGTATTAATGCATCATTGGCTTTAGCAACATCACCTGCCCTTGGACTGTGTTTTATCTGGCAACATTCAGCAGCGAGGCAGTGTGGTCTAGTGGCTACAGTGCAGGGCTGGGACCTGAGTTCTGACTGCCATTGACTTGCTGCGTGAAGTCACGTTGGCTTTTCTGTGGCAAGTGGAGTGGGAGAAACTGAGCCTGCTGACTCCTTTGGGGACCTTAGTCAAATCACTTCCTCTTAATGTTTCAATGTCTCAATGAGCAAAATGGGGGCTGACAATAGCTACTGTTCTACCCCCCAGGGGGAATTATGGGGCTAAGTCAGCAGGTGATTGTGCAGGGCTAGGACTATGGAATGCCGTGGATAATTACCACATATTAGCACACACTGAGTTGTTCCTGTTTCTCTAGCCATGCTGAGACGGCAACTTTGCTGTTCACTATTTTTATTACATGGAAGGATTATTTTTTAAATACTGCCTTAGTCTCTACACAATAAGCTAAATTCCCAGCCCAACTTCCCTTCTCATTAGTGACAGATTGGAAGCAAAACCTCAGTCCCCGCTCCCATTCTGAAATTTTTGGAAGGGTATCTAACTCCAAAATTGGACAGCTCACCCCTCTCGCTGGGATGTTTGTGAGAATGCAAAATCTAGATTTGGACTCAGAGCTGGATTTTATGGCTTGGGGTGCAACTTCACTTTAAATAGAGGCCAAAAAGAGAAAAATAAAGGTAAAGCTAGCATTTCAATCCTGAGGTTTTCTTCAGTCTTTTCCCACCCTTACACTTAAAATTAGAGCTGAGAAAATAACAGATAATGAATGTAACCTGCTTTTTTGCCCCTAAATATTCTACAAAGAGGCTACACTCTCTTCTCATTTATCCGTTACCCAGTTTGAGGCTAATTTTTGACCCCAGCAGTGCTCTGTGAATATTGGGTATTTGTTACTTGAGAGTATTGTGGTTGATCAGATAAGTCCTGTCCTATTGTTTCCGGTCTCTGGCTGGATGAATGTGCAAGCACTTCCAGCTTGTGAACATATTACTCCTGGGAGAATTCTGCACCCCTGTGTATGCACAGAGTTGATGTCCACCGCAGATTTCTTTGCTTCCCTGCAGACAAAATACTTTCTGGTGGGCAAGCAAAGGGAAGCCATAAGAGCAGTCATGCGACTCTCTCCAACACCCGGACCCAATTGAACCCCAACTGGACCGTCCTGCAGAGTCTATTATCATTGCACCCAGAACCTCCCAACAAGCCCCTGTGAATCCAGGCCCCTCTCCAGATCCCCCACTGAGATGCCCACACCCAGAATGCCTCTCGCAGAATCCTCTCAACCCACAAGTGGATCTCCCACATTAAGCCTCTCCCCAGTTGGATCCTGCTTTGCTGAGCCTGCCTGCCCACCCCTAATGCACCGAGCACAGAGGGGGCAAGGACTTGGGCTGTCTCCGGGGCAGGCCCATTCCTCGCACTGTGTGAGGGGTGGATGCAGACTCACTGCTGAGTCCGTGTCCTGAGGCGAGTGGGGGGAACTGTGCTGTGATCTCTGTGTAGCCAGCAGCTTGTGTTCCTCAGCGCCCTGCTGGAGCCTCCACATTTATTTAACAAATACAGTTGCAGAATTTTAAACTATTGTGTGCAGAGTGTTTATATTTTACTGCAAATTTGTATTTGTCTGGTGCAGAAGTCTCTCAGGAGTAACCTATGTAAAAGTCAGTCCCTGCTAACGCTCCCACGTGAGACCTTATCAAATGTATTTACAATACAACTGGCCGGAGGGGAGAAGGGTACTCACCTGGGATGGGGAAGACACTAGCTTCAGGTCCTTGCACATCCTGTTTCAGTGTTGCCCAGTGGATTGAGCACTGATCTGGGACTCAGGGGAGCTGGATTTTATTCTTGGCTGCTGGATGACCTTTAGCATGTTCTCATGTCTCAGTTTCCCCATCAGTAAAACAGGTAAAATGACACTGACCTCCTTTGCAAGGTGCTTAGATTTATGGGCAAAAAGCCCAGATCAGAGGCTAGGTCTAGACTTCATCCCTCTGTCGATAGAGGGGTGCAAATCAAGCACGTCGAAATTGCTAGTGAAGCCGTGATTTAAATATCCCATGCCTCATTAGCATAAACATGGCTGCTGCTTTTTTTCAAAACGGAGTTTTTTGAAAAAGAAACGGCAGTCGAGACACAGATCTGTCGAAAATAAAGCCTTTTCCCACAGATCCTGTATTCCTTAAAAAATGAGGTTTACAGGATCTGTCGAAAAAGGATTTATTTTCGACAGATCTGTGTCTCGACTGCCGTTTCTTTTTCAAAAAACTCCGTTTTGAAAAAAAGCAGCAGCCATGTTTATGCTAATGAGGCACAGGATAGTTAAATCCCAGCTTCATTAGCAATTTCGACGTGCCTAATCTACATCTCTCTGTCGACAGAGCAGTGTAGTCTAGACACATCCAGAGACAGGTGAAGTCATTAAAAAGAGAAGATGTAAAGCTGACGCCTCCTTGCTTCCAGTGTCAGAGTTGTAGGTGCTCCCCGTAGTGACAGAAACAACGTTGGACTACTTTTTTTACTCCTGTTGGCCCTGCAGAATCAGCACAGCTCAAGGGCAGGAGTGCTGGGGGGTCTGGATTAAGGATGTGAATGAGTAGTTGACTAGATGATTAACCAATAGGCCTAGGCCAGGGGCCCCCCACAGACGGGGCTGCTGCCACCCTGTTCTGCTGCCTCTATCAGGGGCAGCAGCACAGAATGGCAGGTGGGACCTAGTTTGTGCAGGAAGCTGGTTTTAATCAGGTCCTCTTGTGGACCAGCTCCCACCTGGCACCCCATACTACTGCCTCTGATAGAGAGGCAGCAGTGTGGGGTGGCAGGAGGCTCCCCAGGAGTAGGGCCAGAGCACACTGGCTGCCAGCCACTCCTCTGGGGACTATAGAATAGCACCTTAGTGACTATAGAATTCGACTAAGAATTTATGCCGTTAGTCAACTATTTTATTACCCACTATCTAACATCCCTAGTCTAGATTCTATTCGTCCTTCTCTGTCATCACCTGAAACAAATGCTAAATTCCCATTATAGAGCCAATCAGTTACACCTATGCAAACTCATTTGCATATGAGGTTCTGTGGGTGTTGAGGTTTTTTGCCTTTCTGAAACAAGCCCAGAATAAAGGAACCACACAGGCACAGCGAGGATCAAATAATTGTGTTTGCTGAATGTATGCAAGGTTGGAGGCCTAGCTCTAGAAACCCACCCTGTTGCTCCAGTTGGGCTCTGGTGGCTTCTCAACCAGAACACAGTGAGCCCCATTAAAAGTTTCACAAACTACTTAAAGGGACTGGCACTAGTATATACACTACATCAAGAGTCACTGAGGGTATAATCTGAATACAATGGCATTGCATGGGAGTATATAGACAGGGCCAGATTAACCCTTCTGGAGCCTGGGGCTAGTAGATTTTATGGGGCCCACCCTAGGCTCGAGGAAGGAGCCAAAATGAGGGGATCAATGTGCAGGAGAGGGCTGCTGGGGAGTGGGTTGGAGGTGGGGGTGCAGTAGCAGGCTAGGGGTGGAGATTAAGGATGTTAAGTATCAGGTAATTGACTAATTGAATAGCCGATGCATTTCGCATTAACTATTCAATTAGGCGCCTCCGCCTTTGAAGTGTAGCAACAGCTGTTGCTACACTTCAAACCCAAAAGTGCCACACGGAGACTGGAGTCAGTGGGGGAGTCCCCAGTTGATCCCAGGCTCCACATGAAACTGCCACCTGGAAACTCCACCTAGGGACACCCAAGCTGGCCCTAGGTTGCACGCAGCTTCTCAAAGCGGTGGTGCTGCATGGAGCCTGGGGTCTGGCCCCAGGCTTCAAGCAGCACTGCCACGTTGAAGTGGGGGTGGGGGAAGCGACTAGTCAACTCTCCGATAAGCATTTGCATATTGGACTGTCGACTGGTCCTTCACATGCCTTGTGGAGATGTGGGGTCTGGGAGGGAGGGAGCAGAGGATTGGGGTGCTTACCTGGTGCAGCTCCTATTTGGCAGGGGGAACAGCTGGTTCTGTGCCACTCTGCACTTGCAGGCACCGCCCCCCACCACTTTCATTGGCTGCAATCCCTGGTCAATGGGAGTGGCAGCGAGAAAGGCTGCAGGGAGAGAGAGACCTTCCCTGTGCTTGCAGCGCTGTGGCTCCAACTTGGGGGGAAAGGGGAAGTAGCAGCACACAGAGCCCGCCCTCTCCCCCACCTCCACCCCCAGCCAGGCAGAGCCCGCCAGGAATGCAGCATGCAGGGGCTTTGGTGGCTACATCCCAGAGCCCCGGGCCTTGGCCTACAGTCCCCAAAACCCTTTTCATAATCCAGCCCTGTACACAAAGGGAGCATTTGTATTACTGGTGGGGACATGCTAGGAGAGACTCTATCCTGACTTGAGTTTGCAGGAACTGCAGCTGGGGGAAAAAATACTGGAATACACCTGGATGCCAACATGGCACCCTACATTTGTATAGGGTCACTTCCCAGAGCAGGAGCCTGCTTTCATTGGCCAGAGCCAGAGAGAAGGCAGGGAGAATGGATCCGTTTAAAACAAGGCCCTCTGCTCTTAACACTCCCCAGGCGGTGAGGTAGAGGGTTTACAGTGGGATGGTGGCATCCTGCTGACCTGAAAGGAAGCCAAGGAAGCCATAATGGTTCTCCATCTCTAGGGCTGGTTTCTGGGTGGCTTTGCTCTGTGGGGTTAATA